GGTATGACTCCCGCTTGGTGGTATCGCTAAAATTCGTCATTGGGGAAAGCATCATGGGCACAGCAGAAGCATTCAGGTAGTTGGGGTAGGCATCGGCAGTATTCATGGCCAAGGAGGCCTCAGGGGAATCGTAGGGAGCGACGAATATCTCATCAGGGGTCGGATAAGTCGAGTATGTGGACTGGGAAAGGCTGTTGGAGCGAGCCCGGTCGCCGTGGGTGCCAGGGGGGAAGAGATCGTCAGTTAGCTCCCCGGGAGGAATGAACTGGCTCTGAGAGATGACTGGCTTGGTGGAGGTAGTGGGCTGCGACTTTTGGGACTTGAAGGATCGCTTCGACTTGGTGGCCTCCTGGGCCTGCTTATCGGACCCGACATGGTCAGAAGAGCCAGCACGGCGCTCGAGGTCCTCGAGACGTCGCTTAAGTCTCTTGCCTATAAGCGAGTATTTATGTTAGTTCCGGTTGGGAATCAGCTTTGGAATCTTCAGGAGCCAAGTCCGGTAGAAGTCAGCCTCTCAGAGTTAGTAGAGAAAGCATACGGTAGTTGCGCTGAGCAATGCGGTTCTGTATCCGTCGGCGCTCAGCAGTATCAGAGACCTTGGTCCAGTCCTCATCAGGGTTAGCAGATGCACTACTGGTACCCGAGTAGCGTCTGCGAGGAGGAGCTTCCGCGGAGTCGGGTAGTTGCATGAACATGGGCATTGTGACAGTGGTTGTAGATGGTTGAGTAGAGGGTTTGAGTAGGTAGGCGCCGTGGAAATGGTACTTGTCGTTGCTGCCAACGACGGGGCGATGGACGACCCAGGCACGATTGAGACAACGGGTTGGGAATCAGCCTGAGCTGTCTATTGATGTCTCGTTTCTGTCTGTCCTCTTCCGCTTGTCTATCTTTCGGTGCTTGCAATCGACCAGCAACAATGGCTGGCGGTTAGTAGTGGTTGGTATAGATAGGGGCGAGAATAAACAGGTTTATATATCGACGGGCGTGGAGACGGCGTAGGTGAATAAGTAACAAATAGCACCGGCCAAAGCGTACCTTTAATATAGCACGACATCATTGCGACTGCCGATAGTTTGCTTATATGCTAGGGTATTAGAGCTATAGTAAGAGACAAACGAGATGGAGGTGACAAAGATGGGATCGAGGCTCCAATCTGTAGATACGGTCGGGGCTCTCCCCAAAGTAGTCTATCATTTCATTACGGGCGGTACGAGTCACGAAGAGGCGCTCGATCTCCGGGACTCCTCATCACGGGGGGATAAGAGACTGAATAACCAAGTAAGAGTCAGAGATAAGAGGCGTAACGGACTCAGATGGCAGAAGTGCTGCCTAATGCGGCTTAACATCGGACGACACCTGCCTGGGGTATGTTAGAGGCGGCATATGATATGGAGAAGTAGGGATGAAGTTCTTTCCATCGGTCAACTAGGCCTGTAATAGGTAAATTCCCCGAACGCCTCCTCAAGCTGATTACTAGATACCTAAACTACCGCGTAGCTTAACTTTTCGCGCGCGTCGTGTGGCGCGAGTCAGTATCACTTAGGCGAAGTTTGTGCTTGGAATCGTAGCATGCTAGACCGAAAGGATATGAAGCTGGCGGTGATAAGGTGAATCCATGGTGGAATACTGCCAATTAGTGATCTCCTGGGTGTTGAGTAATGGGCGCTAAGCAGCGGGCGAGCCATGGCGCGAAGGTAAAGAGGAGGCGATGGAGAGGGTGGGTAAGCCCGTTGACCAGTCCCGGACACCCTTCTGTGCTCTGATAGAATATAGAGCCAGGTGGGTTAATACTCGGCGCCTTATAGACCTCGCGTATTGCAATCCAGGATTAGTTTGCGACCTTATAATGTCCCGACATGCACGCAGAGTCAGGAAGAGGCGGAAACCACTCGGTTCACATATACTCGTGGGACTGCTTTTCGTTCTACCATTATATTGCATCTACGCGACGAAAAGTCTGAAAGACAGAGCTCCATCCATGCGCTCGCCAATCAGCCAGATAAGGAATGCTTTTAAGCCAAATACAGTTCGGCCTAGATGGCTGGATTACGGCTATTTTGTTAGCTCGCCCGGATTCTTGAGCCCCCCTTTCGGCTTACCCCGACATACTATTACTAGACCGTACATACAAGACAAACAAGCATAGCATGCCGCTCCTCGATATGATTAGAATCGATGTTTGCTAACGACCCTCTTGCCTAGCTTTTGCATTCCTCCGTGGCGAGACGGAGGATGATATACTTGGGCGATATACTTGGGCAATAGACCGGCTGATGTTATTGATAAAACAAAATGGGTTGATTGTGTTGCTGTTAGTTCTAAGTTACATATATTCGAGAGCACAGCTCCTTACATAGTATCCACATCCCAGCAACCAGCATTTCGGACCACCTTAGTCACACGGTCTCAACAATATCAGTAATATCCGGCCACATCCGCTTCACCGACAAAACCAATCTGCTGCCGGGCATTCTCCTGCAATTTAACCTCCAGCTGAGCTAAGTCTTTACGGATCTTATCAATAGCCGCATCCCCTATAGAGTGCTGTTCCATCTCTGAGTCATTATCATGCCTGGCTGCATCTGTATGTATGAAGCTCTGGTTTGGTAAGAGCAGTGCAAGAGGTAATACTACAGCTGTCGAAATGTTTCTTTGTTGAATTAAAAAAGGTCGCAAGGTCTAGACCGATCGATCCAGGAAAGTCTCGACTCTTCTTGGTTCTAGACCGTTCGAACGGCCAGACCGGTAATATGTGTTACATTGTTGGCGAAACCCGCCCCACTTCCAATCGCCGCAAAGCCCGTAAATCAGATGATTTGAGCCTGGCTGCTAGGGTTCTTTGCTTATCTAGTCAACAAATGCTATTACCCGTTGACTCATGCGGGGCGAGCCCGGGCGAGCCAACTTAGCAAGCTAAGTTGGCCCCCCAAAACCCCGGGACATTGGCGGGGCCAGATTTTGGCTGTGATTTGCCGCCTTTCTCATGCTTTGATGTTCTCATGCCGTCCAAAGTCGTTATGAAGTCACGAATTAAAGGAAATTGACGTCTCTTGTGAAGCTGAAAGGCAAGGCTTTTGGATTTAGCTATAGAAACTGCTGCTTGTGCATCCAGGCCCTAGGTATTATTCGCAGGTGATTATCTCCTGAGAGGTCATAAGGCTCCAACGAGGGGTTACAGCCAATTAAAATGCTCAGAATAGGGGGTACTTCCACCGCCACCTAATCTATACGGTGATAGAAGTACTAACAGTTTTTATCGTTACAAATCGCTACACTACATACTTTACAGCCATACCTAGTTTGTTTTGCCCTGCGCCTGATTCTTCTATTACCACTGATTTTACTGAAAGCATGCTATTTTGGCCCCTTTGACCTTATTTGCCCTTGTCGGATATGAGACACATGCTCTTCAACCAAAACGGTATGAAGGCCTAAGGCAGTCGGATTGAACAGATGATGCCACCTTCTGAGATGAATGGAAAGATTATCAATGCAATGGATATTCGTCAGGTCCACATCCAGCTCGTATTCATAGATCGACGCTATATAGTGCATCTCGACCTGCAATCCTTGCACATTTTGAGTTAACATCAGTACATAACATATGGTCTATGGGCTGCCTGGGAGCTTCGGAACTTAGCAACAACTTGAGATAGTTATGCATGTAGCTTAGACAACGGGGCATAATGCATTCTAGTAGCTACCAGAGACTCTAGACTCTTGCTCAAACACCGTCAATGTTGTCAGGCTATTTAGTTTACTAAACAGAGAGAGAGAGATACTCCTGCCATGATCTCAAATGATCGCTCCCCCCCCCCCCCCCCCCCTTTTTTTTTTTTATAGAGAACAAATGACATAAAAATTAATAAAGAAGAGCTAACCAACAAATTCGTGATCTTCTGCCAACGCCCAATCTGCGCGGAGTCAGCCTTCCAACCTCTGTTTTTCTTCAACTCCTTGACCAACTCTAGTTGATATCAACTTGCCAACTGACAATACTTCTTCGCAGTATTCATATAACTTATGTTATTCTCTATACGTAAACGGAAATACCGGGCGACTACTATAAAAGTCGCACTTTGTGGAGAATGCAGTGACTTCTTGCCGAGCAATCACGACGAGAAATGGCAATCCTTCAGTAACAGCCCGTAGGGAGAGAGATCAGCTTGCAAGGTTCTAGGGGCGGCTGATTCTGACTGCCGTCTTTGCCAGGCTGTAATGCACAAGTTCGGAGCCCTCCAGCCAGACCTACTGTCACTCACACAGACAAATGCTCAACCAGTCACTTTTCGATTGCTCATAAGCCTTACTAGAACATAAACATACAATGGGTTAAAGATCTCTACAGACCGTGCTTGCAGACCTCTATCTCGCAAAAACGGATCGAGTTTCGCCTGTGGCGCGTAACGCAGGACATCACTCAGTCTAAGACTATTCAAGAGTATATCACTAAAGTCGTTTCTCGGAGACTTCTGTGATTAATTTACAACGCGATATATCCAATTAATGCCGGGCATGTCTCTAGCCATAGCCTCATCATGCTATGATCGGGCGCCTACTGGCACCTAACATCGTTCCCCAAGAAGGTCGTGTTAATATCATCACGATGACGTCACAACTCTGCCTAGACTTAGGGTAATTTGCAATGGTGGTGGCCAAGGAGGGTCGGCGCGAGGAAGGGTTAAGCATTGGGAACATGCGGCAAGACTGGTTATAATACAAGAACATGCCAGATAGTTATTAATACATCTAGGCAATAGTACTGCACTCTATTAAATAAATTAATGTTATATTGTGTTGTTTTTCTATATTTTATAGCGAGTTTCTTATGTTTTTCCAACTCCCTTATATATTTAACTCGCTTATTACATATGTTTAGACTTAAATGGAAAATAGCAAGTAGGCCCATGCCCTACACGTAATATGCATAAAGAATATGACTAATCTCTCCCTTTCACTCATCCAACCAATCAACGCGCTTAAGGTTCTCGCCACTCATCTAGGCGTCAACTCACTCTTCATAAGACGTAGAATCACCTCTCTCTAGCACCTCACAAAGGCTGGTTGGCCTCTGGCAACGGGCCTTCTCGCGGGGCCGTCCTGCGTGTTAGTTACGGCATCAGTCACAAAATCGTGTCTTACTGGGAGAATTTTGCATTAAGTGTTAGAAAGGAGCCCTGCTTTCCCGGCAATCACAATGCCAACCCCGGACTCTCGACACATACTTGAGTAGGCCACCAAGCTGATTGAGGCGTGGTGTATAGACTTCGGAGCACTCAAATCTCCGCATGAGGCGTACCAAGAGCAGGTGGCGGCTGCGAGAGTGAATATCGACGAGGTGTTCGACAGTCTGTCTACTTATACTAAACCTTCCATCTAGTTAGCACTTCAGAAACAGCTTACCGAATACTATGACCGGCTAAGGGAACTGCAACTGAACCACGATAGGACGATAGGACAGCAACAGGAACGCTATAGGGAAACCCTCAATGCCGCTATGAGGCAGCTCTGTGACAAGCTGAATACGGTAATTGGGCCATGCAAGACATTGAAACCTTTCCCGAAAGTCGCAAATCCACAATCCAACCAAGGTCAGACTATCAGTTCATCGGACAGCCCGGAGAGATGCAACCCGGTGTTCAACGTGGATACGCAAACGGACTTGGAGCAGAGCGTCATCTACGTCTGCGTGGTGAGTATTCTGTACCCTGCGTTGACCCTAGACTTCTGTTAACATATACAGCATGGCGAGGCACAGTGTCTGGATTCCGTCCCTAGTAGACGGAAACGCCGCCATACTAGTCGAGTATAGACCTGTGGAAGGCCAGATAAGATAATAAAAAAACACACTTTAGAGAACCAAAGTCGGCCTGATAAGGTTAGACCATGCGATAATGGTCGAAAGCGGCAAAGAAAGTCTGCCATGGAGGGAGTTGAACCAGTCTGTAGGCAAATATGCCTTATATTTCGGAAGAAGCTAAAGCAATGGCTAGCTGCCCTCGTCCTCCCAAACAACTTCAACGAGGCTGGCGTTGCTGCCACTATCGCGAGCCTCGACTTGATAAAGGAAGCGGCGGGTTGCTGGGAACACATACACGAAACAGATGGAGTTCGATGGCGGCAAGGCCATAACGAGACTGAGCCTGTAGTAGCTGAGCGGCAAGTTGCAGTCGTGTATTTTGAAGGACCGGAGTTTCCAGAAAAATGCAGAACCGATTAGGTGCCTATCGACGAACTGCATAAATACGACCCTGAGGTTCACTCGTCTCTTGTCCCTCACTCAAAAACGGTCCGGAAATTCTTAACTGGTCAGCTGGCAGCACAATCAAACATAGAGGCTAAGCGAGTTAAGTTAGGAATTACCAACAGTATATTATCTAGTAATATTAAAGGTCCTATTAGTCCATGCCGATAAGTTTACTGACACCATGTCTCAAGAGATAGGCACCTAGAAGCAGCGAACCTCGTACGAATTAGCTGCGGTATGCGAGATGATTTCTTAAGACGACTGTTCGGTAAAGGGAAAGTTGGAGGATTCTGCAGATGTTGGTGAATCCCAGATCACGCCAGCCCCTAGTCTATATACAGAGATACCAACTATGAATCTATAAAAGAAGGACCGGTTAAACTCTGAATCTAGAAAGAGAAACTCGCTAAACGGCAGGATTGCCGGCTTATATAAAGACATTGGCGTTATGCAACTCGGTGTGAACGACCCTATTCAACCCAACGCGATACTTGGAAGCGGTTTATTGGCTACTACTGACGGGTGTTAGGCAGCATCTAGACCTGGCCAACAACAGACAGATGGACATGCACTGGTAGCGATGTCATCGATATCGGGGCCTCTCCCATCCATGCAACCTCTTCTGTCGCCTGTTCCGACTCTTCGTAGTACTAGAGTTGCACGATCTAAGCATGTGACGGGGCGAGCAAAAGGAAGAGAGGCTATAACCCAGCCTGTCAAATTACCAGGAGTCTTGCAGATGCTATAGGGCGATGCACTCGATAGTTTGAGCACTGGGTGGAGGCAGAATCCGACGCTCAATATAAGGCCGCTTCAGCGCCACCAGCTACTATCCGGACCTGAGTCCTCGATCCCGAGTCTCTCGGAGAATGGTTTAAGATGGGCTTTGACTCCGCCAGTGACATCGCCGGAGACTAACCATTTGCCACAAACAGCCGCTGTACACAGCAGTAAAGGATATTCCTGGGCTATCTCATCCGATAGAGAGGATATCATATTAACGATATCGCCTTCTTGACCCTCTACAACAGCCAGGTGCAGAAACTCAAGGCGGTCCTTAGCAAGAGCTTTAGGGTCTGCCTTAGCAGGAAGAGCTTGGAGACCCCCAGCAGTCGAATGATTCGGGAATGATTCAGAGGGGAAAAAAAAGGAAAGTTTACTTGAGCAGCATGACTTCCTCAAATGACTAGGAGGTAATAGGATTTATAACTTAACTAAATATAACGTGGTTTATCTCCTAAGAGCCCAACTGGCTGCAATCCGTACCCCGCCCCACCCTATCCCTGTCATTACAGCAGTACGAGCGGGGTACCAAAAGCTTCAGCTTCCATCCTTTCATAGCCAAATTACTATATAATTCATGGCGATTCAATCAATGAATACCTCTTCAGATCCCAGTCAAAGACAGGAAATCGATTCCTATGATGACAAGAGCTTCTGTAAGCAACATAAGGGCCCCTGTACGGGCCTAAAGGAGCCTGTCGGGGCTAATGATTATCCGGCCGATGAGACCCGCGGCTTCAATTTCAGCCCTTTCATTATATAACCTCGCGATTATCATATTAGTTATTTGCCTAATACACCACTTGATCTTTTCCAGCTTTTTGTGCCTAAATCGCTGCTTTGGGGGTGGATTGAATATACTAATAGTTGGATTTATTACCTGCTTGAAAATGGCGTGGTTGACAGCTGGAATAACCCACTTCACAAACACTCAACGCTCCTAGCTTGGGAAGGGATCTCTACTGCACAGATCTATATATGGCTTGGCATGCTGATTTATATAGGAATTCATAAGGAAAGGAAGCTACGAAGCCATTGGAAGGCTCCCCGGCTAGGAGATCAATCCCCCCTGCACTCAGTTATTAAGTTCATGCCCTATTGGAGGTTTCAGCTGATCCACCGCTATCTTCGTCCCTTTGATCACACCAAGATCGATGAAAACGCCCCCCTTCCGAAGGTATTCCAAGCTGCTGAAGAGTGGTCTGACCACATACAGAGAGTGTCAGCTGCACTCTTCCAACCAGGCTCTCATCTCGCTGTAGATGAGTGTATGGTCCGCTATACAGGCAGATCAACAGCGACAACTGTTATCAAAGGGAAGCCAACTCCACTAGGCTTCAAGATCTGGGTCATCGCCCAAGCAGGCTTCTTTATTCGGTGGCTTTGGCACTTTAAAGGCTCAAATTACGATGCCTTAGACCGGGGGCCAAGGCGAAAGAGAGGTCGCCCTAGCACACAAGAGAGAGAGGCAGCTGGCAAGGAGGCAGCTGCTCTTATACAACTAGGCAATACGCAGGGCGTCGTTATTTCCCTATGTGATATGCTGCCAAAGCAGACATATCACGTCTTTGTAGATAACCTCTTCTCAACACCACCTCTTTTCCGCAAGCTTCGTGATCACGGATACGGGGCCACAGGCACAGCCCGCCCTAACTGTGGCATACACAAGGACCTAAAGAGGGATAAGGCACTCGATAAACTAGGGCGTTGTGACTATGCCTTCAATGAAGTCAGGGCTATCCCGACGAGGGATAACAAGGTGAGAAGCCATAACACTTTTCTATGTATTTCCCTTACTAATTTGTCCTTTCCCCTCCTTTATAGGTCAATCAACTAGCTTGGAAGGATAACAGCCTTGTGCTCTTCATCACAACCGTCTTCCGAGGCGATGAACGTACCGATAAGAAGAGGAAGAGGCCGTCTACAGACCACCTACGAGCCCGGCCAATACAGCTTGAATTTGGTGAGGAGACTACTAAAGTCGTTCCAATCCCGACAGCAGCTGCTGCTTATAATGATGAAATGAATCACGTTGACCGAGGCGATCAATTGAGGTCATACACAAGCTACGATCACCCCCTACGCCGGGGGGCTTGGCAGGCACTTATATGGACCTTCCTCCTTGATGTTGCACTTACTAACAGCTATATCCTTCAACTACATAGTCCCCAGCTAAATTGGGAGAGATATACGTCACAGGAGGATTGGCGGAAGTGCATTTCAAACGCCTTATTTAACACATATCATCAAGAAAGTCAAGCAAGAAAGATATATCGGTCAGGGGCTGAGGAGGACATCGATGATCAAGAAACACGGCAAAGACATATAGATAGGGATATCAACCATGTCTATCGTGGTCGTTGTTCAAGATGCCTAGCTTGTCAGGGCTTTCGGCAAGGGCAGATAAGGTCAAAAGGCTTACAAAGGCGTGCTTTTGCTGAAATCAGCGGCAACGCAAGAGGAAGGCATCGCAGTCGGCAGATGAGGTATGGGTGCAAGATATGTGATGTACCGATTTGTAATAATGAGACCTGCTGGTACTTATACCACCGCATAATTTAGGTGGCTGTAGAAGTACCTCTTGTTCTGTGCATTTTAATTGGTTACGACCCCTCGCCGTGACCTAATTGCAGCCAGTTGGGCTCTTAGGAGATAATAATCTTAGTTTCCTTGTCCCACTACCCTATAATATAATTGTAAGACTGGTAGAGACATAGATAATACCACTTTTACTAAAATCCCTAACCATCCGTCAAGGTTTATATCCTATTAATAGTATAGTTAGGTTAGATATTGTAAAATCAAATAATAGTAAGGTAGAGACATATAAAGGTAGCACGACTATGAACTCACAAGAAATTTAGCCCCTCCGCTCTTCCGAACCCAAGAGAACGCTCGAGGTATCATAGCTTCCTCATACTCCTTACAAGCTATACTGATGTCCATGGAAGTTACAGAGCGACCCGATTCATCCCTCGCGAGTACGAGTGAATGGAGCTTGAGTAATTGGGGAAGAGCATCGGCACAGTCAGACATGGCCTGATTGCCTCCTTGGCCACTATAGAGACATAGTTAACAATCAAAGCAAGTATCAAGCCTCCATAATCTTGAAGTCAAAGAACCTGTTCACTTCAAGGACTCCATTGAAATCAAGACACATAAAAAAGAAAAGAGGCTCTGAAGAAGTTTTTGTCCCCCATCTGGAAATGGTCTGACGTACCGAGCGGGCTGCATAGCATGAATGGCATCTCCCATGAGCCACACGCGTGGGTGACCATGTGTTACTGGCCCAAGCTTTCGAGTCTTCTCACGCCACTCCCAGCTTGGTTGGGTGCTGGCATTAAACATGGTGACGTGCAAGTCCTGTGCACCTTGGTCGTCTCGGTCTATGTTGAGCATTTTATGACTGCCATGTCACAATTGTTAGCCGATTTCGTCGTTTGGGACCAGAGAGCTACACACAACTCCGGAGCCCATCCCTTGATGAGATCTGAACAGATTTGTCTGCGATCTTTCATGTCCTTGGCCTTCTTGTAAGGGATACTGTCGACGGGTACGCTCAGCCCCCAGTAAAACGACGCCGCGTTCTCGTCGTAAGCCATGAGTTTGGTGTTGTTTGTCGAGGCTGTTTTGTGATGGTAGTCCTCGGGAAGGTAGACTTTTAGAATTCAGTATATGCTCAACTAAGAATTAAGATCTTGCGAACTGACGAGCATAGAACAGCTTGACTTCCTTAGACATGACAATAATCGGCCCCTTTCGTAACTGCTCGGGAAGTTCCAGCACACGCTCATACGGCACACTACCCTTTGAGAGAAATGACCAATGGGACGTGAGGGGCACTAGGTTGTTGAGACCGAGTAGTTGGTTGATCTAGCAGTTGTGTTGATCTAGTCTAGAGCGTGATTGAGGAAAAGGCTGGCAATCCTCACCTTTGATCGACTGCCATCGGCGCCAATGAGCACGTCGCACACGTCGCACGATCCATCCCGGAAATGAACCTTGACCTTTTCTTCCCCTTCTTGATCGGTTGTGATGTCGTAGCTTGTCAGTTCCTTGCCATACCGAACCCGCTTGCTGGCCTTGATTGGTTCCATGAGCAGATTTCGCAACACGACGCGGTCGATAGCCGATGACTTGGTATAGGATGGAACCTTTGAAAAGTCGGCCAGCTGTTCGAACCTCGACGTGTACAGCGAGGGTGCAGTCTGGACCGTGCTCGTCGATTTCCCAAGCTTACGCATGATTTCTTGCGTGCGTGCCTCGGGCAAGCAAGCCGCAAAACCTCTGAGTGCCCCCTCCCCCAGTCTAATCTGATATCCTTCGTATTCGGCATCCTCGGCGTCACGTTCGTAGAGGACAAAGTCGACGTCATTGGCCAGGAGGCCATTGCCAAGAAGGGGTCCTGAGAGACCACCTCCAACAATGATGACTCTAAAGTTGGACATGCTGCTGTTGGAACGAGATTGTGAGTCTGCCGAGGTCAGCGCAGATAGTGAGTGAGGTGTGGAAAGGCAGAGCTGATGGGAACAACGTTGAGAGGATCCATGTCCATTGACGCCGAGAAATATAATTGTCGATCGACAACTCGCATGCTTGGGTTAACGAACGCGCGAGATCCGGGGAATGGAAACATTACTGCACCCCGCTGCGGGGCTGTGCCGTGTTCCTGTTCCATGCCCCGGATTCCAGGCTCTTCATCGCAGTCGAGAGCCAACTGTTCGCGTCTCATCTGATGGACGCTCCCCCGCATACTTCCGTGTACTAGCTGGATTCCAAAGCCTACGGACCTAGCCCACCAGAAGACCAGATGCCTGGGCAAATCCCCTTAGGTGCAATATAAAATCAATTCCCATGTCCCCCCCACACCGCGGTCTAGAAACTGCATTGAACCCCGAACCGCAGAATGGAATTATCTGATGAGCTCCAACTGTTCTTCCGCTTCTTACTTCCAGAGGAAGCACCTGTCACCTGGGCACATCTGAGCCTCTTGTCACTGGGCTCCGTCCTTATTTACTACCTGCTACGTATTCCTTACCTCTTGTATTTCCATCCCTTATCTTCATTTCGAGGCCCGTTCTGGGCGGCAATCTCAACATGGTGGCTATATTCCGTATGCAGGACTGGTCATGCAGAACAAGTCTTCGAGCAGCTACACCGCAAGTATAGCAAGTCACAAGGAGCTCGTCACCCCCATATGCCTTCCACTGATGTCTAGTCTGCCAGACACGCGAGGTCTTCGAATCGGCCCCAATGAGATCCATATCTCCGACTCGACCCTCTACCACAACCTCTATTCTCAGGACCATAGCTTTGCCAAGGAACAGTCCTTTTATGACACCTTCGGAACACCTCATTCAGTCTTTGTGGAGACCGATCGCGGCCTGCATCGCCAGAGACGGAAGCTACTCAACAACTTCTTTTCCAAAACCTCGATTCGCAATATGCAGAACATCTTGTATGAGAAGGTGTCTACCCTCAGTGACATCATGTCCAATTTGGGCGATGAGGAGTCCGTGAATATCTACAACGCTGTCCGGTACGTATTCGCAAACCCATTCTAATGCCCCTCACGTTCAGCTTAGAGCTGATACGTGTTAGATGTATGACTGTTGATATCATCTCCGAATTGGCTTTCGGTCATTCCTTCAACTTGTTGGGCGACGCGAAAGACGGTGCCTTTGTCGCGAGCTACCTTGGGGCTTTTGACATGGCCAGTGATTACATATGGGAGATGATGTTTTTCCCATCTCTTCGACGAGTGCTAAACATGATACCGCCGTCTTTGATGACAGCCTCACCTTTTACGCGTCTTTTCCAGAGTATTGAGGATACTGTGACAATCTTCAGGGAGATGAAGGCTTCGGGCAATAGTTGTGGACATGACATAATGTTCGATCTGCTCTCTGGCCTCGGTGACCGTGAACTGGTAGCTGAGGCTGGAGATATCCTAGTGGCGGGCTCTGATACCACCGCTACGACACTCGCAGTTGCCATTTATCAGTTGATCAGCCACCCAGAAGCATACGACGCCCTGAAAACTGAAATCCGACCGGCAATGCTCAAGACAGCTGAGGATTACGATCTGAAATCCATTGAACAGCTTCCATATTTGGTCAGTTCGCGACACCCAGCACGACCCCCCTTGAGAATAGAGTATGTTCTGACGATTGATCTTGACAGACTGCTTGCGTGAAAGAATCTCTCCGCATCGCATCCGCGGTGCCTAGCCGATTGCCTCGAGTTGTTCCTCCATCGCAATCAAAGGCGTCCTCCTTGATTGTTGATGGGAAGGTCATCCCCCCTGGCGTATGCACCCCCCCCCCCCCCCCCCCCCCCCCAGTCTGGCTATACTTGGCATGTTCCTGAGAAAGCCTATAGAGTGTTGTCTCCATATCCTCATACACTGTCCATGGTGACCAGGAGATATGGGGCGCCGACGCGCAGGAGTTTAATCCGAGTCGGTGGCTAGGACCCAGGGGAAAACAGCTAGAGAAATATCTGGTAACGTTTTCCAAGGGCGCGAGGTCTTGTCTTGGTATCAAGTCAGTCAATACGGTTATCCCCCCATTTCGTGAGTGACATGCTGACAATATTCCACCACCAGCCTAGCTCACGCCGAGCTCACGATCGCGTTGGCGATGTTTACCAGTCGGTTCGACATGGTGAATGACGGAACCACGAAGGATGAGGACCACGAAGTGATTGATAGCTTCACAGCCGGGTTTCGGGGTACGGGGCCACGGGTGAAGGTTTCCCCTGTCTGAGTTCAAGTGCTTGGATTAGGAAAGAGAGACAAGTACCCGAAGCTGGTTGATACATGGCACAAATTGAAACTAATCTCGCTATTCTATTGCATTTCTGGGGCAAGTGAGTCAGCTGGGTACAGTGCATGCTTTATTGACCTATCCCTACCTACCTAGGTAGTTGGATATATGAGTATGTAAGCCAAAGCATGACTTCCAACTAGATGAGAGCATATAAAATACCTTGACCTATTGGATGCATATGGAAATCCCATCTATGTTTTAGTGTTATGCAGTATTAGATTTATCCAGATGCTAATATTGTGCTGATCTTATTCGTGTGTTCTGTTATTGTGAACGAAGGGAAATCGGAGTTTCAACCACCTTGTCTTGTTCTACAATGAGGCGGCAGCGCTTGATGCTTGTCCCATTCTACATTTAGGTCGGTTGAAGCGCTGTGGGTCACACATCGTTGATCGAGATCGGAAGCACATTTGCACACCGTACATGGAGTTCCCCGCTGACCAGGCCACGTTGAGGGCTTCCGTGGTCTCGTTCCCCGGAACTCCCCCACTCCCCGTCAGCTTCTCGCGGATGTTTCCAACTTGCAGTTCCGGCCCTGCTCCCAATCTCTTATTTATTATAAGGACAAGCGTTTGTGCGGGTGTTGTCGAGCTTCAGAAGCGAAACTCCATCCCATAAACCTCTCCACAATCCATCGCCACTAGGACCCATCATGGAACAAACTACCCTAGAATGGTTTGGTAAGAAGTTGAGAACTCATCTACACATCAGGTACACGCTGACGTAGACAAACAGGAGCCACAACCTACCGGCTCCGAACCAAAGGTGTCACTATGTTTCTGGATACCTGGCTGGATAGGCCGTCCGTCATGCCAAAGTATCTCGCAGTTGATGATGTAGCCAAGGCAGATTACATACTTATCTCTCACGCTCATTTCGATCAGTAAGCTCAAGCCCGACCAACCAGCACAGGTACGTGCCTAACCATTGCTGCGAGCATAGCCTTCCTGGAGCCGACCGTATTGCCATCAAGACAGGGGCGATCGTGATTGCAAACTGTGAAGCAATTAATGTCCTTCGGCAAGCGGGCGTCCCCGAGGCCCAGCTGTTTCCGGTGTCAGGCGGAGAACGTATCCCGCTCTTTACGAGAGAGGTTCGGCTTCAGGCGCAGCGTCAAGAAGTACCACTAGCTCAGGGGCCACCAGGCCGACCACCATACCCGCATCACTCCCTGGCGGCTCTTTCTGTTCACGTATGGCCCTCGCTGCACTGCTTCGTACCGCTTCCTCCACCAGAGTTCATGGACACTGGGGTCGTATACGACGACGAAGTCCCATATGCAAGCAGTTTAGATATCACCATGGGTATGCAATACGCCTTGCTCAAGCTTCAAGATATCATGCCAGTCGAGAAGATGGATGACGGCATGCGGTCATTCTGCACCTATGTTAACGACCGGGAGAAGAACGTTCTATCACATTGCGATGGTGGCCAGCTCATGTTCAACATCATCATTGATGGCAAGGCTCTTCTCTGGAGTGCGCACCTCGGCGGCTATGAGGGAATTATCAAGACAGTCGAGCCGCAGCCCGAGATAGCCATCCTGGCCATCGCTGGACGAGCCAACTTCAACGGCAGGCCATTCAAAGGATCGGCGGCACAGTTCGCCTTGAAGAAGATCCAGTGGCTCGGGCAGCCAAAGCAGGTCATATGGTGCCTACACGATACCAGGTAACGTACTGCAGGCAGCAGACAAAGGGGAAATATGCTGATACTTTCTCTAGTTGCGTGGAGCCATATCACGTGGATACCACAGCCGCCACAGAAATGGTTGAGAGGGAAACCAGCACCAAGGTCTTGAACTTGAAGCAGGCGACACCTGTGGTCTTGAATCTGTAGTGCTTTGACAGGAAGTATGTTATAAGTAGCCTTCCAGGACGAAAAGCAGCAATGCCCGACTAGGAGGCCATGGAACAAGATCATGTTGTGTGCCACGACAGGTAGCAAACTCTATATGAAGGTTATTCAGGGCTCTATCGGAACCTTGCCGCAAATCTAAAGTGGAAAAAGCGGAGCAGGTCACTTGGCAAATTAATCATAGGTCATCACCAGAGTATCGGTTTAAATTTTGTTCTTAGCTTCAGCGGTTAAGAAACTAATGAATGTTGGAAGTTAAATGCGTCGTGAAGGTTCAGCCAACATCTTTGCCTTTCATTCTTTCTCCATGAGTTATGAGGCTTCAAACTGTCACTTCTTGTATAAACGAACCTTTGTGTAGAGAGTTTGGGACCCGTACTACCAAAAGCTCCATCACGATGGTAGATTTGAGTCCTTGATTACTACGACAGCAAGTTATGCCTCGTATGTCTTCGAAATGCATGAAATGCTGACCATCATCGCTCAACCAGCAATTTCTTCTTTGTCATTGGTATCTCCGCCGTCAAATCGACTATTTTGTTTTATGCAAAACCCTTCATACTCACTGATACCGGTTGAATCCTATAAGCCATTGACTGAGCATTGCGACTGGAAATGAAGTCTAAAGGGTAAAAAGTCGAGATCACGGGTCAGAAAATTATCAATCCAGTATAATCGTTGACGATTGGACAAACAAGATGTATAAGATACAACCTCTCACACCTACAGCCAAAGAAAGCATACCTTCTCTTATATAACGCACTAGTGGTTCCTTGGCACCGTTAATACCGTGTTGGCCGCTGGTGCTGTAGTTACTTATTGGTCCCTGTGTCTAGGCTTGAGTCGAGTGATGACGCCGATCTGCTTACTAAACCAGTATGTTTGCAATTTCCACTGCGGCTCATCGGATGCCCACTCAACATCAAACTCTCGCAGGATCTGAGGTACCAGTTTCCCCATTTCCATGATGGAGATGTTCTTGCCTATTTGACTCGTTAGCTGCGAAGGCACGAGAACAGATCTATCAAGAAACTTTGACTGACCGATGCAAGTTCTTGAACCATGTCCAAACTATCAACAGTTAGTGTCACAGAAGGGATGGTAACCACGGACAATGGAAGGGTACGTACCGCTAGAAAACAGCGGTCCATCGCCTTCAGCTGCTCCTCAGATGAAGTTATCCATCGCTCAGGGCGAAACTCAGAGTCATCGGCGCCAAAAATATCCTTGTTATGGTGGATAACTATTGGATTAACACCGATTACGGTCCCAGCTGGAATATGCCATCCAGATATATGAGCTCCACCCTGGGGCACAATGCGTTCCAGTGGCATTTGAACCCCCGGGTGAAGTCGCATTGATTCCTTCATCACAGCTTGTCTAAGATGAAACATCAGCCCTTGGTTCCTGGATAAAAAGTGCGCACGTAGTACTGACAAATAGGGAAGCTGAAGACATTCAGCATAGGTAATGTTCTTTGAGAGTTTTCCCTCTGCATTAGCAGTGTCGATCTCTTCAAGAAGCTTCTTATAGACAGATGGATGCTTCATCAGGTAGTAGAAGATGGCGCGAAGTGAGATTCCAGTGGTGTCACTTCCTGCCAACCTGCAAAATGTCAGCGAAAGGTTATACCAGTTGAAGATGGGTAGGGAACGGGGATGTGGACACATACAAATTGTTGGAAAGGTGGTTCAGCATGTCCCTATCGCTCATTGTACTTTTTCCAACCTTCCTATCGTTCCTTAACAACGCTAGAAAGTCGCCTCTGGAGTTTTGAACGCCCTCTTGGTCGTATCGCTTGATTTCCCGGAGGGAAATCTATCAGGTTTGTTAGCAATGGTTCCATACTGAAACTGCGTTGTATCAATTACCTCAATAATATAGGCAATGGGGTTGGGTAGCTGCGGCATAAATGTCTTGAGGAGCCACAGTACAAAATCGTTACCGAGCAAATAATCATGGAGGTAAGAAACTTGACCAACGACTGCCCCATATACGAGAGCTTTTTCGATGCTACCGATCATTCCCTCCACATCGGTCCGCTTCTCCATGAAGCCGAACCGGGCTTGGAAAGTCATTGCTGCGATAACATCGAATGCGTACCTGTTCGGCTGTCAGACCACATTTTAGACCTGAAGGATCAAAGAACGTTACCACTGTAGCCATTCACCGAGATCGACTTTCTGGCCTTGCAGGTCTCGCATTGCTGCCATAAATATGTCGGTACATTCATCCGCCATTGGCTCGAATGTTCTTATAGATGCCATGGAATACTTTTGAGATACGGGAACCTTCAGGCGTTTATGCTCCACTGGGTCCCTAGTTGCGAACATATTGTCGAAAGTTTTGCCCTCGTATTTAGCCCCGAAAGGCTTATAGAAATCGTCCTGCCAGTAAGGGTCAGAGTGATTGGGTGCTCAGTGTTCTTGTGCGGTGGTTGATACCTTGACAAATTTGGAAGTGATTCCATAGATGGTTGGGATGGCGGCAGGATCAGACACGGAGACGTGTTTCGGCCCCGTACGGACGACCGGGCCATACCTGCGATGCAGATTTATGTACTCGTTATGGCAATTGCCTTTCAAGACCAGGGACACTTTATAGAGCCTGGAAAAAGGGGCAAGCCAATGCCCAGGCATCTTCCGAAGGCCATTGAAGTAGGCCTGGTGGACGGTGGTTAGAACGAGGTAAGTCAAAACTGCAGCTACAACGACATGTGCCCAGGGTAACTCTCGAGCAACATGTAACACCTCGGCAATGAGAGGTCCAGTGGTGTTTTGTGCCATTTTCAGATGAGTCGGTGCTTTGATATATATGCAAGAGTAATCGTGAATGCGGGTACAATGTAGTGGAACGGGGATTGCCATTTAATTAATTTAGTCAGGGGACTGGACTTCGCCAGTCTTGTGCCCCGGGCTCAAAATGCGGGGTAAACTCGAACTAGCACTTTGGTCTATCTCCCCTAGCCCCGGACTCTGGATTAATCCATGTATTCCCCGGAACTGTCCCTTTGACCGGCATATGCCACCGGGTAGGTCACTCCAGTGGCGCCAATTAAGATGCACGAAATTCAAGGTACTTCTTTCCCTACCTATTTTAGGTGATGATCGAAGTCCCAACAATCTTGATTGTTATAAATTGCTACATTGCATTTGGCGCACCTAAAAACAGTCTGCGCCCCTAAGCCACCCTGATGCCTCGTTATATTTCCTGTCATCGGCGGTGGATTGCGGATTACATACTTATCTGCACTAAGAGAAGAGCCCGGCTGAAAGACGAAGCCTGTTATTTGTTGTACGCGATTAGACCATTCGTTAGCCACTTAGAAGACCCTTGGTATATCTTCATAATCAATGTGAAGTATTGTATATAGCCACGTGGGCAGAGTCAACGTAAGATAATCTCGAATATTGGCTGCTAAAGCTCCCGTCGCTATAGGCTGCATCTGCCTGTGTATCTTAGAATTGACTGGGAAGTTATGGTTTCACAATTAAGAATTATTTCTGTGGTGTTTTGCTAATAAATGCTTCATTTCATGAGCTTCCCTTGCCCCGTTTGTACTAATGAGGTCACCTAAGAAAGGGGGGCTGGATACAGAGCGGAGGCTTGTACCGGTTAAAGAAACAGTTAGTTAGCTGTGGAGGGTCATACTCTGCTTGACAACCCCGGAGTTCTTTAGGTCACTAACATGAATGGTCCAATGAAAATACGTGCTTACTAGTTCTGGCTGCTTGTGACGAGGAGGGCTCAAGGTATTTAATTGGACCATAGAATTTCCGTGGACCATCTTCGTCCTCCTTACAGCGCCGAGTCTTTACGGTCGCATTCCTACAGCCCGGGGTTGTTCACCTTCCGGCCTGGAATGTAGGCGACCTGTGGGTAATTCTTGTGAAAATGCACGGTGCAGCGCCTCAAGTGTTGTCATGTTAACTCCTTATTACTGTAGAACAAGCTCAAGCCAGGCTACATCACCCAAATCCCAGTATTCCATCCAAGCTTGATTCAAAGATTTCTCATGAGTGCGTATCTAAATGCTTCAAGTTCGCTTTCTTAGAAACAGATCACTCCACAGAGCATAATACCTCCCCCTCAGCTAAGGCTTGTCCCTCTTGCACTTTATAGTTCAATTGACCATCGCCATTAGCGGCGATGGTCATTTCCATCTTCATACTTTCAATAACGAGGACCTTCTGACCAGCACGCACAACATCACCTGTCTGTTGGAGAAGCCGCAACACCTTACATGGCATCGGGGCAAGGACAACAGTGCTGTGATCAGCGGCAGCGTCAGCGACAGTTGACACCCGCAAGCTTTCAATATACGTCAGCGTGTCGAATGACTTGAACGCGATCCATGTACCCAGCACGGACGAGTGGAACAAGATGCGATGCGGTTGCTGGTTCGCAATCGGAGAATCAATGATCTGACCATCAGGAAATACCAGAGTGCCTCTGAACCGTTGGTTGTTCAGATCTAAAACAACATCCGTCTGGTTACCGGTACTGCCCAGCGACTTGATCTCGATATTGACATGGGGAACTTTCGTCAGAGAATCTGCTTTCTTCAGATTTGTGATAGAATTATATATAGCTGCAAGGCGTTTTGGACTAGTTCCCTGCTCGTACTCGGTACCACTGCGAACCTTGTCGAGAATGGAGTCAAGTGCTATCTGATGCAGCCTGTGCTCAAGATTTCTTTGTCCCTGGCGTGGAAGCCAAGTAGACAGTACAACCTGCTCGAAAGTTACGTCGGTAGAAATGGGTTTCTGAATGTCGACGGTAAGAATATGACTGAAGTTGTTGGCTTTGTCCTGGTCCTGGTTGCGGAAGCGTGTCCCAATGCGTCCGAAGTGATGATCATGTCTGCGGCTCGCAGCCGCCTGATTCCAGAGGTATGCTGCTGGAACAGCCGTGATATGTTTACGAAGTTCCTCAAGTGGCCCACGGATTGGATGCTTCAGCAGTTTCTCGAGCCTGCGCTCGATGAAAGATGTGGTGTAGGCGGGGTTTCGGAAATCGGGATGAAGCAAACAACTCTGCAAAAAGAGCTGATTCGTCTTCAAACCCACACAGAGAGAATGAGATAGGACGGAAATCATACCTTGGATAGCGTGAGCTCGATCAGGTCCCCAAACGATGATCTTGGCAATCATCGGGTCGAAAGACATGGTGATGTTGGTGCCACTGGCAACGGCAGTTTCGAACCGTACTCTTCCATGCGGCACTAGACTGGGATCCGCAGGTCTCCAAGCATGAATGATCCCCAGTTCAGGGAGGAATTGACGTTGGGGATCCTCTGCATAAAGTCGACATTCGATAGAATGACCGGTAATGGACATGTCATCAAAGGGAAGTGTTTTGAGGTTTCCACCAGAGGCAACGAAGAGCTGAAGCGCAACAATATCGAAGCCTGTCACTTCTTCGGTGATGGGATGCTCGACTTGAATCCGTGAGTTGACTTCGAGGAAGTATTAGCTTGCCGCATTCACGTCCACGATGAACTCGACGGTCCCCGCTCCCTCATATCCTATAAGATCCCCAATCTCACACGCCGTGTCGCACATGGCCTTTCGCATCTTTTCTGATAGCCATGAGCAGGGTGCCTCCTCGATGATCTTCTGATGTCGGCGCTGGACGGAACAATCTCTCTCAAACAATGAAATGACGTTGCCATGCTGATCACCAATTATCTGAACTTCGACATGCTTTCCGGCCTCGATATACTTTTCCAAAATGCAGTCACTGGAGCCGAAAGAGCGTCATGCCTCGGACTCTGCCCTCTAGAATTCAGGCTCGAGCTCATCAGGTGTTCGAACGATTCGAATTCCCTTGCCCCCTCCCCCGGCAGAGGCCTTCAGTAGAAGTGGGTACCCAATAGCATCTGCCGCATGTCTCAGCTCCTCCACTTCTTGACTGGTGCCGGAGTAGCCTGGAATAAGAGGTATGCCTGGGCCGTTCTTTGCCAAGAATTCTTTGGATTGACGCTTGTTCCCAAGTGTTGAGATCGCTTGGGCGGTGGGACCTATAAAGACAATACTGGCTTCCCGTATTGCGGTTGCGAACTCCGTATTCTCGCTCAGATAACCATATCCGGGATGAACAGCGTCGGCTTTGGCTTGTTTTGCAAGACGCAGAAGCAGGTCGATGTCCAAAAAAGGACTTCCCTGAGACGAGTCTCTGGGGGGAATGCGAATGGCCTCGTCCGCCTCGAGAACGTGTAAGGATCCTGCATCTCTATGCGCAAAGAACGGCAATCATGGTGTTAGAGAGAAGTTCTGTAGGTTTCGGGAGGGAAGGAAATGAGAACGATTGTAAAAGAGCGTGTGCAAACTTACTCGTCCGTGTAAACAGTGATTGACGTTAGTCCGAGAAGACGATAGGTGCTGATAATGCGGCAACAGATCTCGCCGCGGTTTGCAATAAAGATGCGGTCCAACTTGGGAGATCCAGCGGACACCGCCGCAAGATTAGGCAAGAACAATGGACTTCTCATGTTATCATTCGTAGAATATTTGTTGACGTGATGGAGCTGCTTCCAGGTATGAATGTCTTTGCAACACAGGAGATTGTATGGGAAAGGCAAGGCAGTTCCATGAAATATTGATTAAGAGTTCCTTACTGGCCTTATTTGCCAGTAGGGTATTGGCCAATGGGTTACAGAATTCTCGCCGCTCGTGGATGTACTGTAAGTTCCGTGGAAGAAAACGTAAAGGCGGCTAAGTAAGCGCTAGCTCCACTATCGAGGCTTATGAGTTGACGAAGGGTTCTGATTGCCGAGGAACCAGGCCGAGGCAAGCTCCTCAAGTCGCATGTCGAACGACAAGCAAAATCGTGATCTTCATGTCTTATGACGAACAATGCGAACACATGTTTTAGAGATAGAGCCTGCCACTGCAAATTCAAAATTGATTTGATAATTGGACGGCTGCGCGTCGAGGCCCTCGTTCCTGGACCGGTGCCACCCACCTTAGGTCCATGTGGAAGAACCATCTGAGTTATTTGGGAGGTACATACATCTCGACTTTACTACACAGATGGCCTGTACATTTGTCAGGGTGTTGCCGCCATGATCAATACCGCAAAACAACTACATTAGATCGTATATGTTCTATGGGCCCACTCAAGAGAGGCAAAGGAGCGCCCCATGATAGAATGAATCAATTGGTTGTAAAACCGATAATTTTCACTAAAGTAGCTGTTCACTCAGCTACAGGTACAGCATTGAATATGCAACTAGGCCTCCATCAGACACGGCTTTGATGATATTCCATCCCGTTTGTTAGCAGAAATCGTGCTGTTTCTGCTAACCTACAGTAGTAGGACTGAGTACAGAAATTTAGACTTGGCGTAAGGAAAGCTCGCCAGTAAACTTGTACACGGTAAAACTCGACATCCTGATTATGAGAGCCTTTCTAACTGTAAAACCTACTCTGTCTACAAATCCATGGCTTACGATAGCCACTGTTGTCAAAGCTTGACTTTCTGCGTCTCCCTCAATTGATCCCAGTCAATATTGCGCTGACTAGCTTGGAAAGCTGCCAAGCCCTTGGACGCCTCGCCACTGGGCTTCATCATGCGCTCAAATATCTGCCTGATACATTCGTCTTGTGCTCTAGACCCCGGTTCTGTCCATCCTGAGCTTACGAGAGACTTGATCATAGCCGATGCTTCGGGTGCACACAGTTGAAGCCTGCTGATATAGCCGTCCGTAACTCTATCCAGCTGTGCCACGTACGGGGCAATCACGGCCACTATGCCACGTTGCTTGAGCTCCTTTGCGCTTATAGTCCGCGCTGATAGCATTGCCTCCCTTGAAAATGCAATACCAAACTCTCGGATGACGTACTTTGAAATGGTTGCGGGGGCGAGCCCTAATTTCGCCTCGCTGAGGGTCATGCTTGCGTCTGCCGTTGAGATGCGGATGTCACAGGACAAGGCAAGGCCAACACCGCCTCCGAAACAAGGACCGTTGATACTGGAAACGGTGACTTTGGGCGAGTTATTGATGACTTGAAACAGGCCGGTAAGTAAATCGAACTGCACATTGGTTGCTGAATCGCCCTTGGCCACTAATGACCTGTCTTTAGAGAGATCCATGCCAGTGCAGAAGAACTTGCCCTTCGCGCTTAGCACAATGCGTGAGACTGTAGGGTCTTGACCGAATGCCTTGTATAGCGACGTAAGGCCTTGAATCATGGCCTGAGTCAAAGCATTTCCGTTCTGTGGGCGATTCAGGATAATCTTGACAGCTGCCCCAGATCTTAGGACCTTGAGACCATCAAGGTCCCTGACCTCCGACCATAGTTTCGAAGGGCTGCTGCCACTGAATGCCTTTGGAACTTCTGTGGATGATAGCTTGAGCTTGGCCAGGTAGGCAGTGCCGGCACGGCTTCCGTTACTGATGCCCAGTGTCCCGCATATCCAGTGACTAGTCTCTACCAGCTGAGCTATATCTATCCCAGTCCGTATGCTACTCTGTTCAAACATATAAACCAAGTCCTCCGATGCCAGATTTCCGCGGGCCCCGGGCGCAAAGGGGCATCCGCCAAGGCCAGCTACGCTGCTATCAAAGATACGCAGACCGCAGCTGTACGCCTCCCATGCATTGGCAAGGGCTTGGCCATAGGTGTCATGGAAATGCCCAGCGAGACTGGTGACACGGATATTATGGTCGAGAAGTAATGATAGTAGACGTCGTGTTTGTCCGGGAGTTCCAACACCTGTAGTATCCCCCAACGAGACCTCATGACAACCGGCTTCTATGAGAGAGGTCACACAGCGCAATACCGCTGCAGGAGGTGTCGGTCCGTCATAGGGACATGCGAAGATACATGATACGTATCTGACCCTTGTTAGCGATGCAAAGAGCTATGCGGGAATTGATTGAAGATGACTTGTTCTCACTTACCCTCTTACGGAAATGCCAGCGCATTTTGCTGCACGTGCGACGTCAACAGCTCTTTGTATGCCTTGTGCGACGGTGCATTTGATGTTGGCTTTGGAGAAACCCTCAGCCGCGCTGACAAACACGGCGACCTCTTTCACTCCAAGTTCTTGCGCAGCGTCAAAGCCTTTCAAGTTCGGGACCAGAACTGGTAAACTCAAGCTGCTATCCTGGAGGAGCCCGCTAATCTGTGAGTGAGTCAGTAGCTCCCTACAGTCTGCGAGTTGGGGAATCGCCTTTGGCGACACAAATGAGGTAAGCTCGGCTGCCTTGAATTTGCACGCGAGTAGCCTCTGGATGAGCTCATGCTTGATTGGTGTTGGAACCCTCGTCTTGATGTTCTGCAGACCATCCCGTGGACCGACTTCAACAATACGTACAGAGCCGTGGTCTACAGTCATGATGGAGGGGCGCATCCACAGGTCGATTTGACAATACAATTAGCAAAGGGTGGTGTAAAATCGGTTTTAATTTTTCTCAATGGCATCAAGGCATGCTCGCCTTTTCCCCATTCTCTTTTTTCGGTTAACTGCACTCCCCTCTCATGGCGTGTGCTTTCGCAGAGAACTTGGACCCTTGGTAAAGGAGCTTGCTACCTACCTAAGGAGTTACCGCTCTGAACCCTAGGTTCCGGGGATGTTGTGGTTGTTGTCTTCCGTGGAGCTACCCATTGCGGAGCCGCTCACAGGGCTCTTCTAAGGTGAGGGAATCATGCGTTGCCGAGGCTCTTGGCCCCAATTTACAAGGGGTTAAAGGGCGGCTAATCTTGGCTTACCATCCGAGCACGCAGCTTATACGCCTTACCTCAATAGACTCGGTATGGTTTCTTGAACTGATTACCAGTAGCTAGCCTTGGGCCAGGGCCTCATTCATTAGGAGCACATTCACCTTCTCCCCATGAGTACCAAGTCTTCGACTTTTGTTGCGAAATTGGACTAATAACGCGCGTGAACACATTTTTGTATTAGTCCGAGACATCCGCCATGTCGGCAGCCAATTCCTTTCCACTCCAGAAATCGGATCCGAGCACTCTGCTTGACGACAGCCGCTATGAAGCCTGGACTCAGCTACTCGATCAGCATAATGACATACTTCGAACCGCCAGCTCAGAAGGCACCGAAGCTTCCAAGACGCGCCATCAAAGCAGGGGACAACTTCTCGGTGCGTTTCACTGAGCGCATACTTACAATATGTTGTGGACTGACATTTTGTTAGCTAGAGACCGTGTTAGCCTCCTGTTGGATCAACATTCGCCTTTTCTTGAATTGTGCGCCCTTGCTGGGCACGGGCTAGACTCTTCGAGTCCTTCGGCATCACTGGTAGCTGGTATCGGTACTGTGTCGTATGTTGTTACATCCATGACAATCTGAGCATGTTTTTGCCACTCAGTGAGCTGACTATAGGCAGTGGAAAACTATGCCTCATTCTTTCGCATATTCCAACACTGAGCGGAGGCGCGTGGAATGAACTTACCGGTAACGAATAACACTGCCGCACAAGGAGGCAGCATCGTAACTAACATGATGCTAGTATTGAAACAGAACCGTGTAACGCAGGTCGCAGGTGAGAACAATCTTCCCATAGTTGCTCTGGTCCAATCTGTGAGCCGGTTTGTCTTTCGACTTAAAAGTACAAAAAATGTTAATCTAGTAATTAGGCTGGTGTCTTCCTCCCCCAACAGTTCCGCGTATTCCATAAAGGAGGACAGATTTTCAGAGATCTCGCTGTGCGCAGCGCCTAAGGAAAGCCAAACTGCACTGTGGTGTTTGGCTCCTCGACTGCGGGTGGCGCTTATCACCCAGCTATGTCTGACTATACGATATTAGTGTAAAATCAAGCCCAGGTGTTCCTTGGGGGGCCGCCTTTGGTCAAGATGGCAACGGGTGAAGTAGTTGATGCTGAAACTCTGGGCGGAGCCAATATGCATGGCTCTGTTACTGGACTTGCAGATCAGGTTGCCAGCGATGGGTATGATACCCCATCAGAATGAGCTATGTGTTCTTGGGGCTAATTGCCCAGTGCTGCAGGTTCGATGCCATTCGGAAGGCTAGAGATTGGGTCAACACCCTCAATGTACCTACAGTCGACCGACGGAGCGTTCCGCAGGCCCTTCCTCCTCGGTATTCCTCGGACGAGCTCTTATATATTGTTGATCCTGATATCTGCAAGAGCTTGAATATCAGAGAGGTTTTGCTCCGAATCGTCGATGACTCGCGCTGGCTTGAGTACAAACCAGAATTTGGCCAAAACATTGTGACATCATGGGCAACTATTCACGGTTAGTGGTCCGGTATCCACATATTAAGCTAATATACTGACGGCACAAAGGCCATCGGGTGGGCATGATTGCAAATTCCGTACCCGTCATCAATGCCAAGGAAGCGATGAAAGATGCTACCTTTATCAAGTTGTGTAACCAACAGTAAGTCCCATGACCATGACCATGACAGAAAGGATACAAATGGCTTATATCCAGGAACACGCCTATCGTCTTCTTTCATAACGTGACTGGCTTTATGGTAGGTGCAAAGGCCGAGCAATCGGCTATTATCAAGCATGGTGCTCAGTTAGTCTCAGCGGTCAGTTGCTCCAAGGTGCCTCACCTCTCTATCATCGTGGGTGCTTCCTACGGTGCTGGCAACTATGCTATGTGTGGGAGGGCATACCAGCCACGTTTTCTCTTTTCTTGGCCTTCAGGTCGTTGCAGCGTCATGGGCCCTGATCAGCTTGTCGGTGTAATGCAGTCTATTGGAAAGAGCGGCGCACGCAACTCAAAGCCAGGGGATGAGCTCCGTGACGAGGTGTTACGCGATGGTAGCTGCTATAGGACAAGCTCAGTATTACTGGACGACGGTGTTATTGATCCTCGCGATACAAGGGATATCTTAGGGTTATGCTTAGACACAGTAGCCTCGACTGAGATCCAAGGCGCTGAGAGCTGTCAGGGCCTGGCAAGGCTATAGGGGTCCTGGTTCCATATATTGGCGCAGTCAGCGATTTTGAATTGCAACAAGTTACTAACTAATAGAGAGTGCTTCCGAAGATTTAGTTCTTGTACATAGAATTCTTTGCCCCTTATTACACCAATACTACATTTACCCATGAGCTCTACAGAGAGTACTCCGCCAAGTCATAATTAAGAAAAATCGTGTACCTTATATGGTCAAGATCCCAGTGGTATGAAGAACAAGAACGGGAGAGGTCAAGGTAGATAATAAGAAATCCAAGTAAGTTTTTGTTAGCGTTTTAGTCGGCGTTATCGCTGAGAGCAGTTCGGATTAGAACTACCATCGTGAATATATTTTTCATGGGGTCTAGTGTCGTAGCAGTTTATTTTATGGGAGAGATAGCTATTCTCGTAGGAGGCCAACAACTATAACCTGATAGACTCACATAGCTATATAGCTATATAGCTAATGTCACTATGTTATGATTCGTTTGGCCTTCGTCAAATATCATAGTTTAGCCTCTCCCCGCCTTTCCGCATCCCCTTTCAGTAGCCGCTTTAGAATCTTGCCACTTGGACTCTTCGGTAGCACGGGTATGAACTCAATACCTCCCCGTAGCCATTTATAATTGCTTTTATGCTCTTGGACGTGCCTGTTTATAGACTGCCTGATTGATTGGTTGCTCAAACCGGAACATGCTGATGCAGACTGAACAACGAACGCCTTAGGCACTTCATTGCCATTATTGTCCATGCTGGCTACTACTGCACAGTCAGCTACAAAAGGACTGAGGAGCAAGTGGGCCTCAAGCTCAGCTGGTGCAACCTGGAAGCCCTAAATTGCATGCGTACATTAGCCTGGAAGTCATGATAGAGGGTTTGTATGTGGAAGGTGCGCATACCTTGACTTTGATGAGATCTTTGATACGATCCACAACAAATAGATGGTCATGTCCTTGGGGGGACTTCTTCACTATGACCTCATCACCAGTGCGCATCCATCTATCGCCATTCTCATCTGACACAAAAGTCTCCGCATTTGCCTTTTCATTGTTGAGATATCCCATGACCAAGGTTGGGGACTTGATCCACAGCTCTCCGCGCTGCCCGTATTGAGTAACATCCCGACCTTCTGGATCAACAACACGAGCTTCCACGCCCGTGACATACGATCCGGCAGAACCAAACCAGATATCGAAATCAACAGATGAGCTTGCCACGCTCGTCGTCTCAGTGAGGCCGTATGCTTGTCGCACTACCCACGATGGGTAGAGCTTGGCCAATGTTTCGGCTGTCTCCTGACCTAGCGGTGCGGCGCCTGTGAAGATAGACCGGACGCTCTTGAGATCGTAACGAGACATCAGTTCCGGACTCTTGGTCATTTGAACGATGATGGGTGGTACCAGAAACAGGTTGTTAATCGCATAGTCTTGGATTGTCTGCAGACATGACTTGAGCTCAGACTGGGGTAGTACAACGATACTATCGCCGCGCCAGGCACTTGCGTGCGCAATCACTACTAGTCCATATATGTGGCTGAATGGCAGCAATCCCAACACACTCTCTGTATAGAACTTTTGATCTAGCTTCTTGGCACGATCGTCGCGGAGTTTTTTCTCAAACAAAGATATCTGCAAAATCGCAGTGATGACGTTGTGGTGTGATATCATGACCCCTTTCTCGATCTGACGTTAGCTCGCAGTCATGTAAATATTTCTGGCTAGTGATCGGTACCGGAAGACCAGAAGTGCCGCTCGAGTAGCAGAGGAAGGCAACCTGAGATTTGCCTTGACCTTTAGTCCATTTCAACGGCTCAAGTCTTGGTAGCTGTACGCCCTCCTGAACCAGTTTGCTAGTGCTCTTGAATTCTGGGATTATTGCGCCTGTATCAAGCTTCTCAGGATAATCCATCAGGTATACCAGATGCCGAGGGATGCCAGCTTCCTTTGCGGCCCGGAGCGCTGTGTCCAGGAGCTTCGCACACGTAAAGATTGCACCAGCCTTGGAGTCTCTCAACTGATATGCGAGGTCAGTTGCAGAATATTGCGCATTAGCAGGTGCCGCCACACCTCCCAAACGACGGATGGCCCATACGACGGGCAGGTAGTCGATCTACATCAGTAGATGCCCCAAGTTAGCCATTATTCATCATCAGAGTATTGGGGATGTACCGTATTGACGCTGAAGATGCACGCCACTTTAGCTAGCGCATTGTTTCCATGGACATCCCAGCCCAGCTCTCTACCGATAGCGGCAGCTAAATGTTCGACTTGATCTCGAACCGAGGTAGCTGACTGGGCCTCTCCTGAAACTCCGCAAATGAAGAGCTGCCTAGAGTCCTCAAAGGCTCTGCGTCCGTACTTTTCGTCGAAGATAAAATCAACAATAGAGACATCGGGTGCGTGCGAGAGCGTCGGCGCCCATTGCGGCTGCTTGAAGCGCATCTTGTGCAGGTGGAATAAGGCGTCGAAGCTGAACAGGTAGGAATGCACCACTCAGATGATTCGCCGAAGCGCTTTTTTATCACATTCTGTAGGGAAATCGGCGGCGACACAGACCATTGAACGGATAAAATAGAAAAGACAGTAGGAACACGACAAGATCAGCATTCAGCTACCTCAAGTCTACCCACTATCCCCGGAAAGGGTTTAGTATCCGTGGAACTGAAGAGACTGGTACGTCGGTAGACTCGCCTTGTGCATTTTGCTTTTGCAAAGAGCATTAATTCATTAATAGCCGAGGTAGAGGACGTCGGGAAAAAGAGGGTCGGGTCAAGATGGTCCCATAGTTATGTTCGTAACAAGATCCGGGGGATCCAGGTGGCTGCTGCAATGTTCCACGGATATCATACCCGTTGGCCAGCCGACGGTAAGCGCCGCGTTTCAAAATGCCCTTGCTTTTGTTCATCTATCCCAGTGACATTGGCTCTTGACAGCGGACAGTGCAGTACGTATGTGTATCACTTTTCAGGGCTGTAGGTATTTTAACACTGCGATGTATGTGCGTCTATCATATCACCAGCTGTGTCGCTGCGCAATTGCGTGTCCTTGTGCGGAGACAACGTGTTTATCTCCCTGGAATCCTGGATCTCGCCAAATCCTAGACCCGTAGGGCGGGGCCATGGTAAACACATATAGATAGATGCACCGATTCCCAAGGACTCTCAGAGACATTAGCTGTAGTTAATCTTAGAGAAGTCTGAAAAAGACACTCTCCACCATAACATCCTCGCACGCAGCACCATCGATCGACATGGCTTCTGAAGAAGTGAAAGCTGGTAGTGGCTACCGTCGCTACTTACCTGAACCTGGTTAGTTTTGTATTAGCAGCAACACTGTAGCCACAATACAGTTCGCAATCAGTTGAGTTAACAGGTAACGAATGCAGACTCGTACCCTCTCTCCGGGATAGAAACAAAAGACATCTACAGCTTTTCTAAACAAGCCTTGGTCGATCCACGTGTTAGCGAGCTCTTTCACAACTGGGCGAAAAGTCTGGACACTCCGTTCTTTGGCTTGACGACTGACGGTACCAAGCGGAACGATCTTTACAAGCTCGAGGACGAGGGAGCTCCCACACTGGCAGCAGTCATCGCTGCCAATCAACTCATCGAGCAGCTGACAGTCGATGAGAAGCTGCGAGCTCTTCACCCCCTTGAGGGCGAAGACTGGTTCGTTAAGCCACCGTAGGTTCCGGGATCAACAGCTCACAATATGACAGGAGAAAATGGTCAAACACGGAAATCATTGCTTTTGACATTGGATTGAGGCTCGAGGCTATCGACCAACCCAAAATTGATCTTGTGTGGGAGCTCGTCAGGGCGTCTCTGAGCGAGATTGGCTATACCAAGATCAAGAACGCAGTCAAGATGAACCATTTCTTGGGAGATCTTGCTAGCAACCACGTCATACTGAATGAAAACAGCTACTTGTATGAAGACGTTTATCCTGCCTTTATCCCCATATTATTATAGAGGGCTGACTACTTGCAGCTTTATGATGTTCGGCCGGCCGTCTCAGCAGGAGCCTTGGGGATTCTCGCTATCTGGACATCACCTGTGCTTGCATGTCTTCTTTATCGGCAACCAGATAGTTATTGGGCCAGCCTTTATTGGCTGTGAACCTAATGTAAGTAGGGACTGAGTCCCCGTTCGTGGAACCACAATCTCACACCAACGTGCATTGCAGGTCATCGACGAAGGCCCCAATAAGGGCATAGAACTGTTTCAGCGCGAGTCTACTTTGGCCTTGAAATTGATGCAAAGCCTCACGCCAATGCAGCAGAGCCAGGCACAGAAGACTCCTCTGATCCACGAACCGGAGAAGCCCGGCTGGAACATCGTGGACCAGCGTCACTACGGAGGCACTGGTAAGGATAATGCGATAGTCCCTTACGAAGGAGTGATTGCGAGTACGCTATCGTCTGAAAACATAGACCTGCTTGTCTCAGTGGTTGCGGCGTTCCATGAACTGTTGCCGTCAGAACCGCTCAGTCACCTGTTAGGCCGGGTTCGCCAGCACTTGGCTGAAACCTACTTCACATGGACCGGAGGATTTGGTGATGGTGATGCATTCTATTTCCGCATCCAAAGCCCTGTCATATTCGTTGAGCTAGATCACCATACGGGTATCTACCTCACCAACAAGGTCCCTGAGAAATACCATATTCACACAATCCAGCGCTTCCCCAACGGCAACGACTACGGCAGGGAGTTGATCCTCCAGTGGAAGGAAACGCACCCTGGTATGCCGCCCATGAAGCGGATGGAATACACGAGACCGCTCAATGACGAATATGCGGTTGACACAGGCTTTCCCAAGTATAGAGCTCAGATCCTATCCACCCTTGAAAGCGGCATCATCCTGGCCAGTGTCATCGGAGAGGGCGGATGCGGCCCAGGCCTGCACTATCATCATGTTGATCAGTTGTACTACTTAATTCGCGGTACGATGAAGGTCCGTTTGGGAGACGAGGTGCATGATGTGGCCACGGGCAGCCTCGTCTTCATCCCAGCCGGACTGCCGCACTGCAACTGGAACAAAGGGCCTGGCGCGGAATTCCACCTTGAGATGATCATTCCTTCGCCGCATCGGCTCGCCCAGATCGCATACATGATTGACAAGTCTGAGGATGTGCCCAAAGAACGTCGAACCAAGAAGAAGGGCTTCGTACGCTCTGTCAGCTCTGCCCACCTCAAGGAGCCGCTCCCCGGCTTCAAGCTGCTACCACTGGCGGATCCGTCTGTCGGGTCCGAACAAGCCGTCGTCCTCTATGCCGAGGTTAAACCCGGCACAGGTGGGCCTCGCACTCATATTCATGAATTTGACCAGTACTACTTTGTCCTGGAAGGCGAACTGACAATCGAGGTGGCCCTGCAAAAGCACATCGTCAAGCCGGATACCCTGGTAATTCTACCGGCCGGGGTGCCACATCGCCAGTACAACCAAGGAAACGTCACAGAGAAGCATATTGCTATCAATAGCCCAGCACCGGAACCTGGCCGCTTCTGGGACTACGGCGTGGATATCACTGCTAACGGTGACAACCATTATGGAAACCTCAACGCAGCACGTGAGGTAAATGATACGCTTCTGGCGTCTTGAACTCGAGATACCATCAAGTTAATTCATGTAGGAAGAACTGTGATAGGAGCCCGGGATCATGGCGATGGCCACTACTAGGTACAAGGGTAGAGAGATAGATTTATGCTGAAAACGAATATCTTGCTGTTTCATATTACAATCGAACATTATCCTCTTGGTCCTTTCAACCAATAATCAAGACGCAGAAGTATCTTAGTCTACTCCAAATCACATCGCCTTATCATTTTTGCTCAGAAGTCTCGTTCAGCATACCGCCCGACAGCTAGTTCAGCAGAGTTGACCATGTTCTTGATCAAATTCGTCAGTGAAGCGGCTAACAAATGTTTACTAGACATGCGGCCGAGATGAATCCGTATGACTCGGAGATATTCGAGATTCGTTCGGGCAGACACCTTGGCCGGGTTACTGGAGATGTCTCGATAGATGATAGCCATGGCTGATAAGAAGTGATCAGAACGCGATCTATGGCCCCGGTTAACACACAAACATCGACCTGCGTAAATGGGCATCGCAGAGAGGCAGTAGCGGACACCTACCTGAACGACCTTGCACGGGTATTCGCATCAGTCATGCTAAATTACGAGTTAGCAAGGAGCATGGCAACTTGGAGGCCGGACGAGGAGACTTACGCATTCAATGTTCTAACCACGGCCAAGCTTGCGCCTACACATATAGAAGCACTGGCACGCATTCGTGGAGCCGCAAAGTCTGTCTCGCTAGCTTTTGGTCGATGCTTGGTACTGGACCAGTGGATCATCTGTAGTAGGTTGTGGTAGTCCAGATGCAGCATATAAATATCTATATGTGCATCGCCATCCAGAATCATTTGTTGATCCGGCCGAAATTCCAATGGGAGCTCTTCCTTCCACTTCATCAGTTCTATATCGGCTTCCTCGAGGCAATTTGACCGTTGTTCTGGAGAGGTCGAGGTTGAGAAGGCATTGTTGATCTTTTGTTGAATCCGAGCCAGACCTAGCTTCCAGATCAAGACTTGTGACAACGGCCAGGATATTTCGCTGACTTGCAGAAGATCCAACTTGCCCGAAAACAACTCGGTATCGCACTGTGAAGGCTGGCAGATAGGCGGCCTGCCTTGGCTCATGGAAAGTTGCCTGGGTACTTTTAGCAAGCCCTTATACCAGATACAATAGGCTCGGGGCTGGGTGCTCTCACGCATCTAATATGAGCGTTACTGCCCACAACCTAGTTCGCAACTTGAGCTGAGAATGTTCCAGACCAAAGTCCTGTGGCGAAATCAAGTGCAGGCCCACGGACTGCGCGACACGCGCTACGAGACCACACAGAACCCATGCTATGCTCCACTTACTCCAGTGGATATTGTAAAGTACCTGCTGCAAAGTAAACAATTGCGATGAGAAGGGTAAATTGAGGGGTACCCACATGAAGTAGGAGCACCTGCACGGAAGCAAGACTGGGTGTCGCCATCGCGTAAGGAAACAAGTTCCAAGCTAAGGCATAAAGTTTTTCATAGTCTATCGACCTAGTGGCGGCTGGGGAGGATCTAGAGGATGCGCCGAGAGCCATGATGAGGTAAAGGATAGAACGATCCAGGACCCCAAGGCTTTGGTGGCCGTTGTAGACGTAGCGATCAAGAATAAGTCTCACCTCGTCTTGGTCGGCTACGGGGTGGGATGGGTATGTATCCTCGAAAAAGGCTGCGTGGTGGCTAGGTCAGCTTGGTGCATCGTATCAGAAACTACTCACCATTTAGATATTGCACGGCCAATGTACTGCAAGGTATTTGCTGTCGGGGAACATCGGGGATGTCGGAGCACGAGATCTCGTCGCACATGGGACCAGAATCCACAATAAAGCCCAACGACTCCGAGTCGGACAAACGAGGGCCAGTTTCACGAGATTCGTAGACACATCTGGCTAGAATGGCCGCGGTGGATGTGAAACCTGGGAGGAGTGAATTAGTCAGAAACGCGGGCCGTGGGAATGCCATGTGCGTCCTTACCAAGGAACTGGCTGCTTCCTTTCTCCTTGCGGTGGAATATGCCAGAAGAAATAGCCCCAGCCGGACTTGTAGGCTGGGACAGCAATTTGTCCATGCCGAATATCCTACCGACGCTGCCTCTGGCATCTGGGCGGGCCATTGGTCCAAGTGTCATCGAGGGCTCAGTTACAGGCGGCGACTCCAAGGCGAGTAACTGCTCTGCGGCTACGAGTTCGTTCGGTGGGTTACAACTGGGACCAAGGGTATCAAAGTCCCAGAACTCTTGCGGAAATCCTATGTTAGCGTCAAGCATGGCATGATCCAATGCAACGCTTGTGCGAGGGCTAAGAAGGGGATCGGAGATATTTTCTGATACGCTGGCGGCGCCGGCCAATGCAGCATCCAACGACTCTTGGTCGCTTTCTACTTCGGGAGACGGCCGGGAAAGCTCATGGGCTTGGGCTGGGGCTGGATCGGAACAAGAGGGCTGCTCGTCGTGGGAGAGCGTAGGGTCCGGGTTATGGTTATAGACTTGTTGAGGAGGACAGTCTGGGACATTCGTAGCAGCTCGCGCTCTGCGTCTCGTAGCCTTACGACTGTCTGGCCTTGAAACGCACTCGGCACCGTAAAGCTGGCAGTTCAAGCACGGCCTCTTATCGGCAGTACACTTGAGCTGAAGACGACGAGGTTAGAAGATGGGACAAAGATGATGCATAGACACAATTGCATCGAAATAAGTCAAACATACTCGTTTACGGCGGCAGTACTCACAAGCGCGGCGCACGCGTTTTCCAGCCGGTGCCGGTTGCTGAGCGGCTACATTTATAACTGGCAGTGCCGCTGTCGCATTTGAAGTGCTTTGTCTTTGGGTTGGAGGGCCTTGACTGGCAGTGTCCATCTTTGCGTAGTGTACCGTACGGGGATAAGAAGAGGATGACAGGCTGGAGAAGTAAGATTTACAAATCGTTGGTTGTCAGCATAAGCCCCCCTTACTCATGGATATGGGAGTAAGGGTTAGCCAAAACATTCATAAGTTCAGGGTATACTTTTCTTAAAATATAATAATACCTTATACCTATAATCTTAAGTAGACTATTTAAAGCTAATTAAAGGTTTCCTAGACTTAATAGCTATTTTCTAGAATTACTTATAGAGTTTTAAAATATAATAATAAAAATAAGGTTAATAGTCGTAATGCTCTACCTAGAAGTCTTAGCTTATATTTAATTTAATTAGGTTTAGCGCAAAAAGCCAACTACTAGAATCTACCTTTTAATCTTAAATAATATAGATAGCTTTACTAATATAATTTATAATGCAATAAATCTAATAATTTAGCATACTAGCTCTATAATATATTAATATATATAATTAGTATAGTATATAGTAAATATATAATTATAATACCACTTATAAGAGATGCCTACTATAAACTTTTTCCTTATAATAATATTATTATATATATAGTAAACTTAAAAACTACTAATAAATATCTTACTTTTAGTTATTTCTTACTTCTTATTTATAAGGTCTTTAAGCTAATTAATATTATAAGAAACTATTTTTTTTTTTTTTACCTCTTAGCCTATATAGACTAGTATATACTGTAATACTATTAACCTATAAACCTATAACTGCTGAAAAAAAATAAAAAAAAATAATAAGGTTTAATTGCTATATAGGCCATAGCAGCTACTATAAGGGACAGCAAGTAATAATTATATTGCATTATTAATTACTTAAAAAACGCATAAAGACCTACTATACTAATAAGGTAATAAGAATAACTACTTCAGCCAGGCTATATAAAAGATAATATCTTAAGCCGCTCTAAAACGCTAAGGCCGTCCCCTAAGGAAAGTGCTATAAATAAAAGAGGAGCGGCTTGCCTTATAATGCGCGTAATTATAATAATACTACTAATAATAATATAGATAATCTATTAATTCCTACTATATTACTATTAGATTATAAAATATAGAGTTTATATATTATTACTAACCTTATCTACCTACTTTACTATTAACTATAAACCCTATTATTAGCCTCTACCTAAAGCTATATCTTAATATATTAATACCTTTAAAGCAAGATATAATAGCCAAGCCTACTTATGTAGGTAAGGCAGATATAGACCTAATAGCAGCACTAATATTATAAAATCCACCTATCTAGAACTATTATAAGAATTTATAGGCTGTATAGTTAAGTTTAAATAATATACCTAAAGATAACTATAATCCGTTATTTAAGGACTCCTAAATATAACTTAAGCTTATATTATAAAGATAAGATAATACAGGAGATAGCTATAATACAGTTATTAATAAAGGCAAAGCTAATTCTCTATACCTTAAAGCTTAAAATAAAAAGCTATAGGATTTAGTTAATAAGGTCTAGTAGTTATTTATTATAATATCGCTAGATAGTAAGGCAATAAGGAGGGATAGTGGCAATAGTATAGCAAGAAGTTTATAAACCTATAAATTAGGTATAGCTTTATATTAATAGAGGGTACTAATACGGCTTACTAAATATAATTAAATTACTAGTAGCTTCTAGCTTAGCATTTTTATAAAGAGATATAAAATCCTTAACTTTACAATCTTAAGGCTCTGCTTAGTTATTATGTAAATTTAATAAAGCCTAAAGACAAAGCTATATAATATTATCTGCAATGCCATTATTGTAGTTATAAAATATAAGCATATTAGAGGATAATTAGGTATAGCGGCCTTATACTTACTCCTTAAATAACTCTTTTAATAAAGTAACTTTATAAGCTTATAACTATAACGGATTTCTTTTACTATTAGCTATAGGTATATAAAGGTTTATATAGGAATACTTAAGCTTTATTAATCATTCTAGTACTATATCGCCATCCTCTAATTTATTACTAAGAAGGTTTAAAGTAGAATAGATCTATTATAGGCTTTACTTATAGAATCTCTATTATCGGCTAAAACGGAAAGACTACCTTACTACTAATAACATTCTCTATAATATATAGCTGGCCATTAAGCTAAGCGGCTGTTAGGATGTTATAATACTTATACGCGCTATCTATCTTAATAAGCCTTAAAATAACTCTATCTAGCTAAGCTAGGCCGAGATTAAAGATATAAGATAGCATAATGCCGCAATACTATTAATCTTTTATCCAGGTATTAAGGAAGGGGTTAGTTACTAATTACTTGCTATTTATTAGCTAGCATGGCTGCATTTCTTCTTTTGCAATTTACTTAGAAGTTATAATAACTACTACTATTCTACATTCTAAAATATCTATAACTTAATACTTCCAGACTCTGCGCCTATATCTATTTGCAATATACTAATTACTTAACAAGTAAATAGCTAAATATATAGTATTATAGTTATAAAATATACCTAATAATTTCTAACTATATAAAAGCAGTATTATAATAAGGATTTAATAATAAAAGATTAGCCTAGGCTACTTAACTAGATATAGTAAGAGCTGTATTTATCTAAGATATAAGACCTAGACTTATAAGAGGTTAATGCTATATTATACTAGATCGAGGTAATATCGCAATATTTAGGCATAATAAATCACAGTGCTACCTCTATTAGCAGTAGGAGGAGTAGTAATAATAATATAGTTACTATCTTAAAGCCGGCTAACCTTATACTACTCCTGTTTTAAGAGTAGAGCAGACTAATAGGATATATATCCTGGCAATATAAAGAGGACTACTCCTCCTAGTTAGCAGATATAACTATAAAGTAAGGTATCTCCCTAAACTGTTTTTTTCTATTAGATATTATAAAGAGGTTAGAAGGTATAACTAAGGAGGATGGCATAAATAGGCCACTACCTTATATCCTTAACCCTATAAAGGATCTCTTAAGGTCTGGTATGTAGGAGTCCTTATTATTAGATGCTAGCCTAACATGCTATAGCAGACCCTATAAAGCCGCTATAGAAGGCTTAGTAGAGAGTAAACAAGATCCGCCCTATCTCTATATATATTCTAATTATAGCACTTAATATCTAGAAGATAATAGGATATTATTATCTTATAATATTAATAGTCTTTATAACTTCCCTATATCCCTTAATATAGCCTAGCTAGGGATTTAGTAATATACTTAGTTATATGTTATACTTAACTTAATTAATAATATCTATCTAAGTATAGAAATCCTAGGTATACATAAGCAAGATAGCGCGGTAATAACCCAGCCTCTCTATACTATCCCTAACTACTGCCTTAGATATATTATTAGCCTTGCAGATACGTTTATCTAGGCCTTCTTCCCTGCCCTTTTCTCTAGCAAGCTCTCCAATCCTTATAGCCAGACCTATATTCCTAAAAAGAACTTTATATACTAGTATAAGGAGGTAATGCTGCCTGCTATATAAGCTATTATTAATAATAATAATATACTCTAGTATATCCTAAAGATATATACTATTATATCTTTAAACTGCAGTATGCCCCAGAAAGCATTAGTAGCTCTAGCAGTAATAGAGGAAGATAAGGCTAATATAAAAGAAGAACTAAATAGGTTTACTAAAGCAAAAAGACAAGATGGTCTGGCCGCATAGCCGGGGTTATAATGCAAGTACTTCTATATCACGCTTTAGTCCTGCTACCTTACAGCTTTATAAAAAGAGATATATTCCAGGGCTGCTCTCTGGCCTAAATATACAGGGTTGCGACTCTATATAGCTACTAAGAACACTAAACTAATATAAATACGGCCTACGTTTAAGTCAGCACTTATAGAGTGGCAGTATTACTAGAATTCTGTAGTTAATAAGGTATATATTAATCTAGATATTACTTATATTAATATTAGCCGCTAGATAACGCTAGCTAATACAGGATTATATAGATATATACTTATCTAGCGCTATTACTATATAGATAGGCTCTGGCATTACTGGCTATAGTAAAGCTAGATCTAAAATTAGCTATATTATTATAAGGAAGATACTTATAAAGACAAATCAGGCAAATATTAGGCTCTGCTAATCTGCAGGATAACCTATCTATTTATTACTCTTTGCAATATAAAAGACATAACTATTACTCCTAGTTTATTAAGCTAGGAGCTTTAAAACAGTCTTATATATAGCTAGTTCTATAACCTTATTAAAGTTCCCTTTAATATAGCTAAGCAGTACCTGTTCTAGAACCGCTATACCGAGAGTATGGCGCTAGACCTATTATATCTTAGAGATTAATATAACTCTATATAAAGGGTATATGCCTACTAGTCTTAAGTATAATATACTTACTATCTAAGTAAGCTCTATATTTATTATAATATTCCTACTATTAACTAGGATAATAATAATAATAATAATAATAATAAGATATATTATAAAGAATTAATACATTACCTATTTATATATAATATATATATAGAAGATAAGGTATTATTAGCCCTTTTATGGCGTATTATTAGTATATTCTTATTTAGCCCCCTGCAGGATAGGTTAGGCAATAATAAAGAAGATAAAGAGAGGGACTATCTATTCTTCTCTATTTCTTCTTAAACAATGGCCTGTTTCCTCTATACTAGCGTTAATTAATATTATTTCCTATTTAAGTATATAAAATCGCAGACCGGCTTAAAATATTTACTTCCTAAGACTATTATTATAGTAGCAGCGCTTTATAGACTTTAGTTTAGCTATAATTATTCCCTTATTGCAAAAGAATTAGTACTTTAGGGAGATAAATAAATATTAATATAGTATATAAGAGTTAAGGGTAAGGAAGCGCAGATTATTAAGGTAAAGCAAGAAGGGCTAGGTCTAAATAAGATATTTAAGTTATATAGATTTAGCTAGTAGCTACTAAGGAAGTTTAACTAGAATACCTAGTAGTTTACTTCTAATATTAGTAATTAACTTGC